CAAGAAACAAATAAGGCTCAAACCTCAGTAGGTTAATATATGAATGCCAATCAAAGTAATCGACCAAGCAGTTCATCACGCTATGCCGCATATGACCAACATCACAACTCCTCGAATTCATCAAACAAGTCTTAACTAATCTTGAAATTTTCAAAGTCCATACTCACAGAACACAAAAAAATCTATACTAGACCGGTCCACCACATAAGCATGCAAAACTCAAGTAAACTCTCCCACACTTAAAATGAGGCAATGTCCACATTGCTTCAACACAAAACCATGAAGTCAAATAATAGGACCTAGCAATATCATAACATGAACCTACACTAGCAACTAACACAAGACCAGAAAACTCAAAAGAAAAGACATGAGAGAGAAACAACTCAAAAAGATAAAACGAAGGGGTGTGCACACCGAATTAGTGTCGAGGAGAATAAGCATCCATGTGCAAGCCTTTCGCCCATGCTCAACCCAGTCCTCGACACGTCCTGCCAAGAAAACCACAAGACTCCAAAACTCCAATTATTCAAAGATAAAACAAAAAAAGCGTAAAGAAAATATCTAAGAAAGCAATAAATCACTTGGGTTGCCTCCCAAGAAGAGTTTTATTCACGTCATTAGCTTGAAGAAGTCTGTGAATGAATCAACCAGGATCCAGAAAGAAATGACGATTGTGCCACGCTTCGTATTTTCCAGAAGTGGTAGCATGGGAAGTTTGGCAAGAAGACGAGCACGATAGATCCAGGTGGCTATGTTTTTTTATGAAACGTGTTTGGGCACAAGAAATGCCCAATTTTAGATGTAGAGATTTCCCCACCCGAGCTCTGTCATCAACCTCCATAACTATAAGCACAACTGTGGAGCAAGTCAAACTGAATCCTACCCACTTCATAACACAATGTAATGGCCTCGAAGACGGATGCTCCAACTCGGTGGTGGGAGGAGGGACTTGAGAATTAAGGCCATGGATCTCCTCCTCTGAAATATCATCAATGACTCGCTGGAGTGCATAATCTTCTTCTTCGGCCTCACACATTTTCTTTAGAGTTCGAGCTTGAGCATCAAGCATGAGGCAGGGCACGTCGACTTGTGCCTCGATTGAGTCGATATGTGTTGTAAGGATCTCTATTTTATACTCAGACGAGCACATCCGAGCTCAATCTCCTCCTCTCGAGTTGTTTGGCAGACATGCGAGTAAGAATGAGGTCGAGTTTTCATCATACGTCAGAGCAGCCTCCCAAGGTTCATTCCTATGTGTAGATTTTCCTTGAGCGGTGGGCTCGTTAGATATATTGTTAACTCGATCCTCTAAGGCATGCACACGCTCCACTAGGTTCTCGATTTTGAACTAAAGATTGCTCCTACGGGCCACTTGGGATGCTAAAAGAGCGAGAGCATGGTCGAGCTTTGCATTATACTCTGAAGAGTCCACGAGGGACTCATATGACTGCTCAACAGGTACGGAATCCCATTGCTGCTTGGAAGGATATGAAAAAGTCTAGCCATAGTCCCAAGAATCGTAGTTCAAACCGGCACAAGCATTCGCGGAGGTGATTGAGTAATCATAATTCATTTGATTACTCGGACGGGCACACCAGGCTCCGGTCTCTTCTTCCTGAGCTAACCGGGATGTTGCAAAAACGTAGATACGGTCGAGCCTCTCGTTAAACTTGTGGTACTCATAATATTGCTCGACCGGGAAGGGGTCCCAGCGCTTCTCGGAAGAGCATGGATACGATTGGTATTGGTACCCTGTAAAATAACTCGGCTAGTTAATCCAAGATTGAGTGTGCGATAAGGGGCACGGTTGAAGTTCATAATACCTGCACACCAAACAGAACAACCACACGTAGCCACAAAAAAAAAGAAAGAAAGAAAAGACAAAAACTAAAACAAAGAGAAAAACAAAGACGCAAAGAAAGACCACAAACACGAAAAACACAACATAAAGAGAATCACGTAAAATAAATTCAACACCAAAACTAAATATCCTACTTGTCTTCCCCGGCAGCGGCGCTAATTTTGTTGCAAGCATTTTTACCGGAGTATAATCGAAAGATTCGTTCCCAAGGTCGTATCACAATGAAGGTTGGCCAGATTATTTGTACGGATTTTCAATCACACGAGAAGAGAAAACAAAATCATAAATATTTTAATTCAATATAGTTTTGGTTTCAATTATAAACTATGATTCTAAAACAAGACTGGCTATTTCAATCTCACAACTCAAAACACAAATCAAATAGTGATAAAGGGGCTAGGGTGTCGGGGACAATCGCTTCTGGTTCTAAATACATTTAACGGGCAATCAAGAACTCGGTTAAATGACTCGACGAACTACTCATCTAGAGATCTATCCTCAATAACTCTTCGTAACAAGAGGATAAACATAAACGAATAATTATTGAAACAATTAACACATAGACAATACCATAACGAACAAGCTTATTCTAAACGAGCCTAGATCGATCGATTTCTTCCCCTTTCGGTTCAAAAATCTATTAACTAGAGTAAGATGGTGATGAGTCATCTAACCCTAAGTTTAACACAACTCGAAGAAATTGAGCAATCAACATGCACATAAATGAAAACGAACCGGAACAATCATCCCCTAACCTTAGATAACGAATTTAGCTACTCATCACAAATTCAACATCAACATTCATATCAAACAAAGTCATAACGTTCATAAATAAAATGAAAATAGAAGCTTACGATTAATGCGAATGTTCAATGTCAAATCCCGAGTGCAACACAAATCCAAAAAGACAAATCTTGGAGTTTTTACTCTCCAAGTTCAATCCCAATGAAAAACTAAGAGAAATATGTGTTTTCCTAAGCGAAACTCTGAATACAATGTTCAAACCCCCAAAAACCATCCCCCTTACGTTATTAAAATCTGAGTTTTAAATTCTGAAAAGCGCGGCCTCCGCAGCGGCGGAGAGTCTTGCGGGTCGCGCTGAAGAAAAGCTCCACGGTCGCGACTCGGCCAGAGGCCGCGAAAAAATTAGAGCAGAAGTGTCCCGCTGCCTGACCTCCCATCCCGCGGCCGTGGCGAGGAAACCTGGGCACGAGCTATATTTGTTTCCCGTGGTTGCGGGTCGCATGGTAAGGAATGCGGCTGCTATTCTCGGGCTCACACATATGCATCCAGACTCGGAATTTAATTCCGTCTTTTTCTACTTGACTCGGCCTCCACCTTCTAGATAGTAATCCTCGCACGACCACTTCCCCCTCGAAATTAATAACTGACTGAGCCACCTAACCTGCACATCACCACCGACAAGAAAAATGCAGAAAACCGGGAAAAACAAACAAGAAAGCCAAAAACGAAAAAAAAAAAATAAGGGAAGATGCACGACAAGACACCAAATGGACTAAGGACCAAAGAAAAAAATACCTAAAATGGGGAAAAATAAACATAAAATAAACACGAAAAATACGAAAAAAAATGGAACGACCATGCACGACTCTCATAACGCACCGCTTACTCATCTGCATGAAGGTGCGCGGCAACGCAGGTGAAAATCACAAGGAATAACTGAATGAAGGCCACCAGTATTGTCGTGCGTAGAAAGTTGGTTGGTGAAGAAGGCTAAAACCGCCTTGTCGGAGAATATCTCCTCGACATTCTCCAAGCTACGGGTCTACCTAAGTGTGTCGTTCAATTAAGCGATGTCGACGAGGCGTTCGCGCAGGTATCGACATCGTTGTTGTTCATGCACGTGCCGAGAGCGCCTTCGACGACTAAGGGTTCTACTGCGTGGCAGAGGGAGCTTGATGACAGAGAATAAGAAAAGCTTGCTACGGTCTACCCGAGGGTGCCGTTCAATTGAGCAATGTTGACAAGGCGTTTGCGCAGGTACCGACACCGGTGTTGTTCATGCGCTTACTTAGAGCGCCTTCGCCGACTAAGGGGTTCTACTGCGAGATAGAGGAGTCTGATGACGGAGAATAGAAAGAGCTTGGATACATCATTGGATCAGATACGGGCCGAATGCAGTGAACGGAGAGGAAGTTTGGGTTTGTTGTAAGGAGGCGAACATTGTTGCTCCTCTATGTGAGAAAGGAAAAATTATTTTATATTATGGTTTGGAGGTGTGTGAACCGTGAAGGGTGAAACTCTGAAAAATGTCTATGTTTAATTTCCTAGACCTAAACGACGTCATTTACCTACAAAAGGAAGAAAAAACGCATCCTACAATGGACGCCATGTGTCACGTCCTCAGAGCACCCACAATGCTTTGGGTCTAATTTTACATATGTGGCATATAAATAGACTTAAGTCCTAAATGACATGAACAAACCCAAGTAAAAAAAACTCAAAAGCTATTCAATGAAAAAATAAAATACTAGGTCTAGCATACATGACAACCAATAAAAATACTCTAATATATTTCATTTATTAAAAGAAAAATTAAATGAGGAATAAATGATGAGTGTTTGGGTTTGTACTTGTGTGGAGTAGGTCTCTTTTTTTTATTGCCACATAAGTTAGACTAGGTCCACTTTTAATTGCATTGGGAAACACTTTTTTATAGACTAGATCTATTTCCTACATGGCATGTAATTTTTTTCTAAGAGACCCAAAGCATTGTAGGTGCTCTCAAGTAAACTTCACAAAAGAAAAAAATTGCCACCTGTCAGCCATATGTGGACCTTCATTTTTTCTTACTAGGAATATATATAACAAATATAATAAGAGAGATCCATGTAATGCCCATAATCGTATATGTTTTAGTGTACACAACCCTAGTAAAATCGCCCAGAAACAGTATAAAGCATAAACAAAAATATCTCAACATGAATCTCATAATTCAGCCACACAAGTTGATAAGACTCCAAAACTTCAGTGCTTTTACATTAGATCATTTTTATTCTTGTTTTTTTTCCGGATAAGCTAGAACCACATCATTTATAGACCAAGAATTTGTCACACAATCTGCACTTACACTTTTCACTGCAGCATCTCTCTTTTACCCGGTAAACATTATTATTACTTATTGTGCATCATGTGTCCTCAACGCAAGCGGCTTCTTTCGCATGGTCCAAAATGCAGCGTAATATCGATTCTGCAGCATTTAGTAATCCAAAATTCAGGGGTAAGTTAGTAAAGAAGGCATACAAGAAAAATGATCTCAGAGGTTCGGGGTATTTGTACAAAGGAATACCAAGAGGCTTATGAAATCACCAAAAAAAAAAAATAAAGGGCCAAGGATTGTCATAATATGGCACTAAATAAAATGAAAAGAAACAAAACTTTTTCTTGAAAATATTTGTTTTCATTTAGAATTTTGAGTAACATTTTAAGAGTTAAAATTTAGGACTTTTTAATATTTTGACTTAAGTTTGATATCCTTATAAATATCTTAGAGATTTTATATTTCTTTGACATCACAGTAAATCTTAAAAAATCCAAACAAATTCATGATGAATAAATTTGAATACCTCGTGACTTTTTAAAGAGTTTGAAATTTTAAATAATAATATCCGGCTTTTTAAGACTTTAAAATCTCAAACGAATACCAAGATCCTTAAAATCTCAATAAACCTTTCCGAAATGAATGCACCCCCTAGGTATAGTATACCGCTTGTACATCTAACCAAAGACTAACAAAACTGAAGTCTAAGAACAATTCAGGAACCAACACAAATTGAATGAAACCAACCACCACTACAAATAATTCCTTAACCAGATTTACGAACGTAAAGCCCATGTCTCGATAGTGAGTCGGTGACTCCTCTGACGGTGATTGGAAGTTAGATGGACAATCAGAACTTTAAATCTTTCTTTCTCCAACAAATGAACCATAGACCATAAAAGTCAAACGGAAGGAAAAAAAAAAGGTGTGTTTAAATAAAAATTTAGTGGAATTGAACTTCAATTGCCATATGACTTTCAAGTAACTTAGCAACACTGCATAAACAAAAGACCAACTATGAATTCATGTTGGCCTTCTCAAGTCCACACAGTAATCAAATCATTGCTAAAGGCAGGTCAAGCTAATGATCCTGAAAATTGAACACATAAGTTTCCTTGTTTACAATATACATCAACAATACATATCAAGAGACTTACGTATAAAGATGTTGTCTGACCACCCCAAAAATTACGAAGTGAATGTACACTCTACAGTAGACTTTTCTGTCATCTCTTCAATAGTAAAGTCATCAATACCTTAAGACGTGAACCGTTATGAAGGACGCACCACAGCATTACACATAATAATTCATTCTGATTTTTATATATCCTTTTTTTATTTTTCAATTTCCTACATTGCTAACAAAGTTAATAATACTAAGCTAGACAGAGCAGTGTATGTCCTCGAGAATCAATAACAAACGTAAACTGAATCCTCAACCAAAAAGGACGTCTAAAATATTTGAATGAAACAATACAAATCTTTAAATGTACTTATAAAGATACCTGCATCATTGATCTCATGTTCGTTGTGTAAGTTGTCGCTATTGTTGATTCCTTCTGTTTCCAAAAAGTTAACAAAAAAAAAAGGTCAATATACCTATGATATTTTAACCACGTGAATTTTCACGAGATAAATTCAACCATACCTCTATTTGAAATCCATAATGACAGGCAACCCTCTTTACATCTTCCAAGCTCAGCTCGATTGACATCTCCTTAAGAGCATATTGCCAAGAAATTGAAACACATACATAATGCATACAAGAAAAGGAAAAACATATGCTATTTATATAATGAAAAGGAGTGCACACCCATCTATTTCGGGTAATAGTGCTTACATCGTCCTGATTATACATATCAGCAAAATGATAAAGCAGGGGACCCAAATTTATCCAGACCTGACAAAAGTTAACCACTCAGCATAGCAAGTGTGATAAGGGAGAAATTCAATAAGAAATAACCAGTATTAAAAAACCACTTACACCCTCATCCTTGAGGATTCTTGAGATAATCTCGATATATTCAACAACGTTGTGTGCTGTATCTATAAAGAAACACGTCACAACTGCATCCCAAACTCCTGAAAAGAACATAAAAGTTGCATCAGATATTTTGCTTCGAATTCGTAATAATTATGTAATCTAAAATCCTTTCAATGCTGAAAGAATGCCCTGGCAGAGAACACTATTTTCATTCGCCAAACATCTCTGTCTATCCTTTTAGTGATGCAAGTACAGTGAGGATATAAAGTTCAGAAAACATTTTTCAACTACTCGTTATATAAAACATTAGTATCATGGTTTACCATAACTTTATCATGTATCCTCACTCTTGCCCTGTATCAATTTTCTTTGTCCGAGAAATGTACATCAGGGAGAACAACCAGTTCAATTTGCTTACCTTTTTGACTTGGATCGCTATAGACTTCAATAAAATCACCTCCACACATTGAGAAGCCATCAGTTATCGCTGAACTGTTCCAACAAATTTCTTAAAAAATTATTTATGTCAAATGGTTTGAGAGCCTTATGTAAAGAATCAATGAAACTGCTTTTTTACTCAGCCAAATTATTGTGAATCTACGATTTTATTCACATAACTACTTCCGAACCAACATAAATTGAAGTCAGTCGGTGACTAACTGAGAACATAAATGTATGTTTCAACAGATCGTGGAATGGTGGAGTGATTGGAAGTATGAACATAAAGTATGAACATAAATGACCAGAAGTAATATCCTGTGAAAAATTAGACCTCAGAATCCAGTTAAGGGGTGAGGGTGTCCATACAGAGTTTCCACCCTTGATATAAATGACCAGAATTACATAGCAATGTTTAAATAGCATATCAGTCATCATACCGGCCTAGCCACCGGTATGACCACTAGCAAATCATAGTATAGATACTATATTATATAATATGAAAAAATAAAAAATTAAATAACCATATTCTCTTTTTTGAGATTTTATTGTCTAGACTATATTTCTCTTGATTTAGGTAGATTACAAACATTTTTGTATGGTAGAGGAATTTTTTATTTCGGATAGCTATTGTAACCTCATTTGTACTCCCTCTATATATATGGGAGCCCTTTGTGCTTGCAGAATCATATTTTCCAATGAATTAATATTTCTAGTGCATCAATCAATCAAGTTTATCTGGTTGTCCACTTGTTAAGTTTACTGAAATAGCTATTGTGTGATGATGGTAATATTGATGATGAAAAATTCATTCAGTAGCAAAACGATTTACTTTACATGTTGACTACATCAAGACATTCTCTCCAATCACCTGTTGGAATTCCATACGAGTTCTCTTCTCATTCGCTATCAATCAATCTTAGTCAATGAGTTTAACTAGATATGAAAAAAGTGTTTCTTCAAGATGATTTGTACAAAACTAATTTTTTTGAGCAACCTACTGGGTAGTTTCTCAGAGGAAGCTATTACTATGGTATGCATATTGAAAAAGGCTATTTATGATCTTAAATAAAGTCCTCAAGCTTGGTACAATAAATCCATCAGTGTCCTTCGAGCCGTTGTCTTCACCTAGTGACCATTCTATATTTGTATGACAAAACACAAATGGGACTGTCATTCTTATCATTTATGTTCAACACATTCTAATATCCAGCAATGATATACGTAGGTTGATGGAACTAAGAAATATTTGTAGAAATACTTTGTTACTAAGTATACAGGGTGTCCTAGGTATTTTTTGGGAATTGAGATTGCTCGTACAAAGTCTAAAGCCTCATCATGCCAACGAAAATAGCTAATGATATCTAAAAGAGCCACCAACCAAGCACATACTAACTAAATCGCTCTATGCTCTAGCTTATGGGGAATATTTGAGGTTCTACTGTATATATATCTTTCTCTTAGTTTAGACTTTTATCTTGTAAGGATATCATTTTTTTGGTAAGGTGGAGGGTAGTTTTAATTTTTGGTAGTCATTTTAACCTAGTCTAGTACTCCCTCTCTATATATAGAAAGTCTATTGTACTTGCGAAATACACAAATCATTTCTCTCATCAAATTTTCATCTCTTACGTTTTACTTTTCAATAAAATAAAATAAAGCAACCGAAAGTACCAATTTCAGTTTTTAAAAATTTTAAGTTAACGCTAAGATTTTGCTTTTAGTTTTCTTTATTTCAATTTATTATATATTGACCGGCATTTAAGGTACAATGTCGTTGCAATCCGATATTTTTTTCCAATATTTTATATTATTTTGTATGTACGGTACAAAATTACTTGAATAAAAGACAAAACAATATCTAAAAAGGGGAGTGAAAAAGAACAATTCAAAGACATGAGAAAGTGCCAATCTGTTTTCAGAAGTTACCTTGCTGGATGAATATCTGGAACTGAAATAGGACGAAGTTGATCATTGTCTGAGAGAGAATTGCAATTACTGTGTATCCATGGATATATTGTCCACTCCTCAGCAATTCGACAGCTATGAACTTACGAATTAGCATCACGCCGATAACAATTATAAAGAACAGAAATCCTAAACCCTGACACTTACTGGTTTAATATAAAACTGGAGCATATCATCATGTAATAAGAAAACTCATTCCCTTGGCTAATAAAACCTGTAATGTATTACTACTATCAGAATATCATGTAGTAAGAAAATCCATTCTCTTGGCTAATAAAACTTGCAATGTACTACAACAATCAGGAACCAACAAAGAAAATATACAAATGAAATACTAGGTATTATGCTCTGTACACATACCCAGACATGAAATTTCCAACGCTAACCTCCCGAGTCCAGCCCCAGGAACTAAACATGCAGGAGGACTGTTCAAGATGAAATACGATATCAACATTTACCATGAGAAAATACCTTTTTATGAGGTGAGACTGCAATGGTAGTTACTAACATAAAGTCTACCAAGCACAGACATAATGCCAACAATATTAGCAAGTAAATAACAGGCACTGAATGAAAATTGTTAAGAAAAAGGCACCTGTCCCTGGAACGATCTGGAAAAAGTCGTTCAAGTTCATTAAGTATTGGCTTATAGCACTCGTCACGTTCACGCTGACCCTAAACACAGCAAGCACAAGTAATTAATATACTACTAATATGATAGAGACCAATCTGAAAGTTTATTCTAGAAGGCTGAAACGGCTGCAGCTGCTCCTACTGGACCCTAGGGCGTAGGCCCAATTATCCTCTTATTATTTAGTGAATATAATTAGTTAAGTTAGTGGGCTTTGAAATGGGCTTTAGGGTTTAATTATTAATTATTAGTTGGATTAGCATTTTGGAATATTGAAGTTTGTGGCAGGCAAGATAGCCTGAGGACCCTTCGGGGTAGTTCCTTTCATTATCTATTGTTGTTAATGCCCTTCACTCTATTAAATTGGTCCAGACCTGCCGATCCTTGTATGCAAACAAGGATTGATGCCCGTTTCGAGAGGATGGAACACCGCTTGGAGATGATGGAGAAGGGCCTTGACGAGGTATGTACAAAATTGTCTACTATCGAGGCTATGTTCGCTGTCATTATGAAGGAGAAGGAAAAAACAACCGATTCTGGGGCCTCCCATGAGGCGGACACATCCCAGACAACGACCCATACCAATACCTTGTCTGGGCCACCAAAAATCGACCTCCCCTCATTTGATGGATCTGACCCAACTGCTTGGATAGCCATTTTTAAGCAATTTTTGTTGGTTCACCACACTCCTGTGGCGAAAAAGTTTCCACTTGAGCACGTCGCAATGTCTAGGTATGCATTATATTGGGTTCAAGGGTTAATGCGCCGTATTCCGACTATCGTTTGGCCCCAGTTCATTGAAGAACTACTGTTGGGCTTCAGTACTCTGACTGTGAACGTATATGAAGCTTTGAAGGTCACGCGCAAACCGACTTTGTCGCGACTATATTGCTGAATTTGAAGCATGTGTTGCTCAGGTAAGTGACAGACGTATCTGACCCTCATTATTTGGGTCAGTTTTTAGGTGGTTTATGTGAGGATATCCGAATCCGTATACGTGATGACTCGTCCATGAATGTGCATGCTGCCACTCGATTGGCTAGTCAAATGGAACGTGAACTAAATTTTGCAAACTTCCCATCGGGTAAGGGACAACCTCGTTCACCGTACTCTCCCGACTCAAGTTCGGGCCGCCGATTACAGGGTCCACGGTTCTCGTCACGTCTCCAGCATAGATCACAAATCCAAAGCCTCAAGCTCGTTCGACTCCCACCCTGAGTTAAGGAGCCAGCCAAAAGGGGTATCCACTATCCCATCTCACAAGTTCCGTAAAGTGCGTCAACTCACACCTTCCTAGTACCATCGGCAACAGAGTCTATGTTTTCGATGCAGCCAACACCATGGCCCGACACACGTTTGCCCAGCCCGTTCCCTAAACGTGATGCTCGCGGGTGAGGAGTTAGACTTCTCACAACCATAGATACCCATTGTCTCTAAATTTGAATTGGTAGAAGAGGTCCTACACCATTTGACAAGTGAACCCCCACTTCTTCAAATCTTACAACTTTCACACCTTGCAGCCAAGGGTTTTGATGGTCCCCTACAATGAAGCTGATAATCAGACTTGAGAATTTCAAGTTCCAAGTTCCTGACTATGGTTGACTATGGTTGATAGTGGCGCTAGTCATTGTTTTATTTTGGAAAGTGTTTTGGATCTCTTTTACCCTCATTATTTGACGCAACGCTGTAAGTCTAGGTACCGAACCCATTTCAATGAGACCATACAGCTACAATCATTTCCAAAAGAGATGAAATGGAACGACTGGTGGCAGATATGTAGATATGTTGGAAGCTGGGTTGATCCGCCCAAGTTGCAACCCCTACTCGAGTCCATTTCTCTTGGTTTGCAAAAAAGAAGGTAGTTGGAGGTTTTGTGTGGACTACCGCGAGCAGAAGGATAAATACCATATCCTTATCATCCCAAAAACTATTATTAGATGAGCTGCATGGGGCAGAGTGATTTAGGTTTTAGCAAGCTCAATTTCCGGGTGGGATACCATCATATACGGGTTGCTGAAGCGGACATTTCTAAAACAGCGTTCCACACACATTCAGGTCATTACGATTTTTTAGTGATGCCTTGCAGGTTGACTAATGCTCCCGCCACCTTCCAAACCATCATGAATGATATTTTCAGGCCTTATCTCCATCACTTTGTGTCAAGTCTTCTTTGACGACGTGCTGGTGTATAGCAAAACGTGGCAGGAGCATATGTGCCATCTCCGACAGACCTTAAATAGCCAACCCAGTGTACAACTACGTTGACAACACAAGTGGAAACATTCACTTGTGTATTTTTTTATTTTTATTTTTATGGATGTTTTTTCACTTGTGTTGTCAACCTAGTTTTACACTAGGTTGGCAATGCAACATTTCTCATTGGGCCTCCTTCGGGAACATTTATTTTCAATAAATCCGAAGAAGTGTTCGTTTGGAAAGAAATTCGTCGAGTATCTCGGCCATGTTGTATCGTCAGATGGGATGCATGCATGCATGCAGATGGACCCACCGAAAATCGTTGCAGTGCTCCAATGGCCGCGCCCTTCTACTCTTCGTAGCCTGCGTGGTTTTCTTGGCCTCACGGGTTTCTATCGCCGATTCATTCATAGTTATGGCAAGGCCTCTCCTCTCACGTCTCTATTAAAAAAAACGACATCCCGGGAGTGGGTGTGGCCTTTTGAGGCTGAACAGGCTTCCAAGAACTCAAGCAATCCTTACTTCAGCTTCAGCTTTAGCTATGTCGCATCTTTCATTACCGTTTGTCGTTGAGTGTGATGCATCGGGATGAGAGCTCGGTGCGGTTTTGATGCAACAGGGTCGTCCGACGGCTTATTTTAGCAAGGGTAGTTCTGATAGTGCCTTAGCTAAATCCGCTTACAAAAAGGAGTTGATGGCATTGGTGATGGTTGTCCAACACTGGCATCCCTAATCTCATGGGGCAAACGCTTTCTAATTCGAATGGATCAGCTTGAAAAATCTATTACAGCAAATTATCAAATTATCAAACAGTTGACTACTCCGACCCAGCAAAATTGGGCTGCCAAATTGCTAGGCTTTTATTTCGAAATAGTTTATCGTTCAAGCTGCTGACACCCTATCACGTAGGCATGAGGTGGAATTAACAGCCATTAGTATGCCCACATGGATGGACTGGAGTCGACTAAAATAGGTTATTTAATCTGATCCAAAGTTATCCAAGATTGTGTCAGCCTTGGAATCTAGCACGTCCGCACCACCACATTACTCCCTCGTTCATGAGAATCTTTTTTATAAGGGTCTCTTGGTAATTCCTAATGGACAAGAGTGGACCACCAAATTAATTTTAGAATTCCATTCAACACCAATAGAGGGTTAATTCTGGGACATTCCACACTTACGACGCTTAACAGCAAACGTGTATTTGCGGGGAATAATGCGCCAAGTGAAGGATTTTGTGAGGGGTTGTGACATTTGTCAACGAAACAAGTACCATACCAAGTCGCCAGCAGGCTTGCTACAACCCTTGCCAATCCCAAATCGAGTTTGGGAGGACATTAGTTGGGACTTTATTTCAGACTTCCCCATTCGGGCAATCTTGACTGTAATTGTTGATAGATATTCAAAATATGGTTACTTCTGGGATTGAGACACCCTTACACCGCCCGATCTGCAGCAAATTTACTTTGTCGAGAGATGGTGCGTTTGCACGGTATTCCAACATCAATTGTACGAGATAGAGATCCAGTGTTCCTAAGTTCGTTCTGGTAGGAGTTGTTTAACTTGACAAGCACTAAGTTGAGTACAAGTTTCGCATATCCCCTTGAGACATATTTGAGTTGTTTTAGTTCTGAAAGGCCACGAGAGTGGAGTAAGTGGTTAAGCCTGAGTACTGCAATACGGGTTTTCAATCAAGCGTGGGTGTTACCCCATTTGAGGTAGTTTATGGTCGTGCACCTCTTATGCTTCATATACTAGGGGAAGTGAGGACACAATCATTAGTAGAGGAGCTTCTGGACAGGGATGAGGTCTTGCGCCATTTGCGTTCCCACTTAGAATGTGCTTAACAACGCATGATTCGTGAAGCGAATAAACATCGTAAGGACGTGGAGTTTGCAGAGGGGATAAAGTGTTTGTGAAAATTCGTCCTCTCTGCCAATGCAAGCTTTTTCGTACCATGAACATAAAGTTAGCACCTCGATTTTTTGGGTCGTTCAAGGTTGAAGCTCGTATTAGAGCAGTTGCTCATCAGTTGAAATTGCCTCATATTGTGAGGGTGCATCCAGTCTTTCATGTTTTCCATGTTTCCCTTTTAAAAACTTCGGTGGAACTGAATTCTGTTGATCCTACATTTCCGGATAAATTATTGGGAGATGAGCAATTATTTATTCCGGAGAAAGTGTTAGCTCGACTAGAGATTGAGCCCCATGGGGCAATGGCTCTACAAGTTCTAATAAAATGGGTGGATTACGGGAATGATGACTGTGGTTTGGCTGGACACTGACGTGGCCAATTCCCTAATTTCAGCCTTGGGGACAAGGCTATTTCCGTCCGGGCAGGAGAGTTGATAGAGACCAATCTTTGAAAGTTTATTCTAAAAGGGTGAAATGGGCTGCAGCTGCTCCTACTGGACCCTAGGGCGTAGGCCCGATTATCCTCTTATTATTTAGTGAATAATAATTAGTTAAGTAACTTAAGTTAGTGGGCTCTTAAATGGGCCTTAGGGTTTAATTATTAATTATTAGGATTTAGTATAATCTCAGAGGCTAAGAGTTAGATTAGCATTCTGGAATATTGAAGTTTGCGGCAGTCAAGGGTAGTTCCTGTCATTATCTATTGTTATTATTGCCCTTCGCTCTATCATAATAATAAAAGCTTTCACTGTTATTTTATTATGTTTTATTTTCCTTTTCATGATTCTTTCTTCAATAATTGTGATTTTGAGTGCCTACGCTGTATCAGTAAGTGATTAAAATAATACTTAACCATTAGTTCTGACCAAGTCCTTTATAGGTGACAAGAATTAATACCTCACTTGCCCAGTCTCTGACAATGTTCCTTATGATGCATCGCACCTGGAAAATTATTGATAAATGAAACGTGCCATTAAATAAATCCTGAATAGCCGCAAAATGTAAGGAATAACATAGTTATTTGCAAAGAAGACGTACTTTCCAACAGAAACATGTCCAAGCGTAAGAAGCAGAACACCAATACACTTATTCACTAGATTAAATACATGCGCGTGCACACACACACACACACACACACACACACATATATATATAGAGAGAGAAAATAATAATTATCGAGAAGGTTTAAGAGTATAATTACCCTGACTGGTGGTTAAGCACAAGGATACAGATGAACTCTTGACTTCCATTGTACAAAATACTTATTTAAACCTAAGCTCTCTCAATGGCTTCAAAACTGATTCATCAGAAAAAAAGCTCACCAAATACCTACTGACACATCTAATGTAGTCTAAGAGGCTGAAACTAACATTTGGATAGGTTCTATCACCAATTAAGTCAATACTTAAATATTGTACCATAACTAATTCCAACCAAAACCAATTGTCCGACTAGTCACAACCAAAATACACACACACACACATACATATATATATGGAAAGTTTTGAAAAGCACCAGCATCCACATTTTTCTCTTTTCTGAAGAATTTGCAATCTTTTAACACTAAGAAAAGAAAACAAATACTTGCTCACATTCAACTGATTAGTTGATTTTCTATTTCACCATCACTTGTTCAATTCAACCAGGGTCTAGCCAATTGACAACAGCTAAAAGATAAAAAGAAAATTAGCAGCTTTTTACTCCTGCAGCAAATTTGCAATATTGTACACCACATATACTATATAAGTGCTGCTCTAAGTTTCATTCACTATTAAAAATGATAATTGTCCAAACAAGATCACTCAAATGTCTAAACAACAGCACACCTTATCTACATCAACTAAAGGTACACGGAACTGTAATGATGGGTCCAACCAATCAGGTGATGATGATGAAGATACCTGAAAGAAGATCCAAAGTTCAATCAATTCTTAGTGAACAAACATTAAGTAATCCAACTTGTGGCCGGCTCCATACTTGTGCATAATTATTAAAATCATAAAATAAAACTTGTCATTTAGTGCTTTTAGGCTATAACTATTTATGCATAAACTACAAATTTTGAATAGTACTGAAGTTTAAATTGTAAATGACAGAAAAAAAAAATAAAAATAAAAAAAATTATATATATATATTAAATAAAAAAAGAAAAAAAAAATAATGAGAAGAAAGAAAAAATCAAGTCAGAAAAAGAAGCGATGGGATAAGTCAAAGCGGGGATGAGAAAAGGGGTATAAAGAACATAATAATGACCGACTGACTAATAAGGAAGTGATTCACTTCAAGTACCAGATTATGTGCCACACTTAATATATGACCTAATATATTGGTCTTGTTTGGTAGAGAGCATTTCGAAACCAAATTACAGGTTTGACCAGTTAGAACCTCTAATTTGTCTATTTATCTGTTTGAAATAGCTTTCTGAATCAAAAAACTAATTTCGAAAAGCTCAATATAGGAGCTTTTTGGAATAAGAGTAGCAGTTTTAGTTATTTTTGCATATCCAAACAACTAATTATTTACCAAATAATTCTACAACACTTCTACAATAATCAGCTAATCTGCTATTCAATTCATTATCTGCTAATTGAATCCCGCTATCAGCTAAGTGCCAAACAGTGCCAATACCCATAGATTTTTTATACATGAAAAAAGACGAAGATAACATGATAATTTTGAACCAATATGAAGTTTTATACAGATTGAAAGATGTTCCTTAATAAAAGGGTGAATGTTCCGTACTCGGAACAACATGAGGTCGAATCAATTCACCAAATCCAATCTAATAAGTGTTTGCATTAATCTGCTTATTGAGTTGATGCATCCAGAAAATCAAAAAACTCATTCTTCAAGAAATTCCTGCTCCCTATTCATCCCATCACATGTAAAAGTTGCAACAGAAAAGAGAGAAGAATGAGGGAATAAAATTGCATGCAAGAGCCCCACTGTCAAATGAAACTATACACCATATACCGCTAGCACTATATGAAAGTTACAATGACTCAAGACTCAAAACACCCACGAATGAATTATCTTGAGATGGTCTAACATCGACTGCCCATGAAATTAATCATGTTGTTCATCACCAAAAAGAGGTATATTAGGACAAGAAAAAGTATATTAAACCATGAACAGTGTTATTAATGGCGGATGGCGGTACATGGCGTTTTGCCAAAATTCCGCCATTGCGGCCGCCATGGCGGCCGCCGTGGCGGTCTATGGCGCCGCCATGAACGCCATCATTCACAAATTTTGCATAGCGGATTGTTAAAAATCCGCCACGCCATACCGCCATGGCCGCCATTTGATACACTGACCATGAAGAGTTTTAAATGAGACATGAGAACAAGTAAAATAAAGAACCATTTAAAAAATATCGCTTCTTTGTAAAAACAAAAATTTAAATTCACCAACAAAAGTATGACATGAGAGCAAAAAGAAGCAGAAGAAGCTTAAACTAAATATTTTATCACTTGGGCATCTCAAAGTGCATACTTTATCTTTTGGCAAACAACATTATTGTCATTTATACTTCTACTTCAAAAATAAGAATATGAAAAAGAAGTATTATGTCTACAACAGAGCCACACACTCAAGATAATTGCTCAGAATTTTTTACAATCCAAAAACCATTGGCATCAGAATGTTCTACCTTTGTGTCACTACCAAAGAGAGAACAGTTCCCAGCATTTTCATTCGAATCACTGATATTCTTTGCCTGTTGTAATCTACATAGGTCATATTTTCACAATAAAAATGAAATAAACAAAGCAAACCAAAGAGAGAAATGCAAAAAATTTAAGAAAATATTATACAAGATGCTAGTGAGACCTCATTAACAATTTCCGATGTCAAGGATCCATGAGCTCCATCTCCGGAGCTAAAACCATCAGCCCTTGAAAAAGGCATTTTGCTACTATTTGAGCCAGACTGACAAGGAAGAACGGTCATCTCACTAGACAAAGGACAGTTATCTGAGGCATTCGCTATGGTTTGATCATCAGAAATATCAACGTCCAGACTCATATCAAGAGGGGGTTCAAAGGCCTACCAATACGAATAGCAGAGGAAGGTCTTAAAACCATCATATTCAGCACATTTACATAATAACCAGAAAAAACAATCGTGATAAAAGAATACAAGTAATCATAAAAAACTGAAATAGGAACCAGCAAAGAAGAAATCAGGATGCACAATCACCTTGAGCATTTCAAATATGAAACAAGAATTTTGTGTGACACACCTGCAAGTAATAAACAAGCTAGAATTAACCCATATATTTATAGAATCAAAACATTGACCCAGGCGGAAAAATCATATTGGTTAATGCATAACCATGCCTTTGATATACAAATGTCATATCTATCTCCTTTAGAAAGATGTTTTACCAAAACTAGTAAATGGTGTTTAAAAAGATCACACATTGTAATTTACGCATAAGGTTGTCATAACTACAGGTGTCATGGGGTATATTTTTTATGCAGCCACTGAAAAATGTGAGTTACATCCCAAAAATGAGGGCAGAAACGGTGATTAAAAAGACGTTCGGAGAGCTGAGGCAATAATCCTCCTTTTTTCCATGTCGTGGGGCGTGAGGCGAGGCGCTCGCCTTATTCAAGCAAGGCGAGCCAAGGGAAAAAATAGAGCTTTATGGACATAAGCATATAAAATTATAAAACATGAAGTGTGAACATTGTCCAATTTATAAACTGAAACAACATAAGCATAAAAAGTATAACAATGAAGTATGAGCTTTGTCAAATTTAATATCTTATTCCTAAACTGAAAAATTAAAAAATAAAAATAAAAATAAAAGAACATATATGTGTGTGTGTGTGTGTGTGAACTGAAATTGTAGTTGAGCACTGCCGGTTGTTTTTTCCTACAAAACAACTCTTTATTTTTTTTCCAATGAAAAAACTTTTTTTAAATTTTAATTTTGTTACAATCATTAAATAAAAGGGGGTTTGATGAAGCCATTTTTCTGCTTCTTCCGGATATCAAGAAAAAATAAATAAATTAAAAAATAAAAATTGGGCTGGCAGCACCACCAGAAACACCTCCGGCAGCAACAGAGCCGGCGACATCTGTCGCCGGACATTAGTGCAGCAGCCTGAAATACAGAGAACCAAAGGGGAAATAGCTGTACAGATAAACGTGGAAAAAGCAGAGAAGAAAACGAAGGAAAAACATAGCTTTCTCTTTCCACCACCGGTTGCCAGAGAACCACCGGAATCTGGTCAGGTGATGAAAAGGCACAACCTAATTTGCTGGACCAATTAAGGAAAATTGGAACTGCATGGAAAAACACGTAATCCTAATATGTCAAAAAAGCTCATGCTTGCCTCCTCTTCTCATAGCGCGCACCTCACCTTTGGTCTCTACACTGAAGGTGCTCGCCATGGCATCGCCTCAGCTACTCGAGGCGGCCACGCCTCGCCTCGCCACGTCTCACGCCATGGCGAGCCATATTAATCACTAGGCAGACAGGTGGTGTTCTATGATAATGCCAGAAACAAAAAAAAAAAAAAAGGGGCATGGCATTTTCAGCGAAAGAAATATTTTCTTGTTACATCATGATTATTAAATCATGCCTCCAATGGTGTGCTCATCAAGAATAACCATAAAACAAATGGTCTTCAGGATAACAAAGTAAGAATTGGATAGGGCCGATAATAAAATGCAAGTAAAAAATTAAATCCATATCAGTAAAAAAGGCCAAGAAACAAATATTTAGCTAAAACTCGACCTCAGCATTTATCTTGTAATTCAAAATAAAGAAAATGGTCGATTTGACATACCATCTAAGTTTTTGAAATTTCAGCGGAAGGTGCAACAACAGCGCCTGTGAAATCCCAGTACCATTAATCAGGAAGAACAATGCTAAAAAACTGGTTTATAAAGTTGAATGTTTAAATAGCTACTTCA